AGTTTTACCATCGATTTTAGGTTCTACTGGGCTTTCAACATCTTCGTTTTTAGAGGGATCGAAATTATCTAAATGAAGATCTGTAAACCCAACAAAATCTTCTCTGACTGTACCATTAAAAAAATAGCGGATGGAAATACTGAGTTGAGAGTGATGTTTCATCGAAAAGAACACTGTAATATTTTCCATTAAACCTATTAATGATAGTGTTTAAAATAACATCGCCGCAGCATTTAATCAGGGAATTACACGTAGTTTTACTAATATAGGTGGCGTTCGACTTAGCATTTTTCAGGTGATTTTCAAGGTCTTTGTCACCACTATCCACCGGAAATCGAAGAAGTGCCTTAAAGTTATCATTATTGAGGTTTTTTAAACTTAAATCTCCGTCACTGTCTAGTTCAAAAATGGTTGTATTTTGTCTGCCATGTAAAATTATTGTTTTGATTATAGGTGACAGTCTCTTTCGATTTTCTTCTATTTGATTTGTTCTTTCTTTATCCAACATATTACCCACGTCCAATTTTTTGTTCTTATAGGTCGCTATGAATAATTTAGCTAAAATAAAATGATTTAATCACATTATTGTATTTTGATAAAAAAATATAAATTTATTATTACCTGTTTCTTCCGCTCGGATGTGGTAGAAAGTGGACCGATTTTTGATTAAGTCGCCATCTTTGCCAGTGAGTTTTGCATATGATTGAAGCGGGCGTGTAAAACCTCCGAGGTTGAATAATTTTTTGTCCTCCAACTTTAGATTCAGTGATAAATATGACACATGATTTGCAAATAAAGTCGCTGACTTTTTTCTGAAAACACTAGCCAAGAAAATCTGGACATTTCGTGGCTGATCTTTAGTTTCTGTTTTTTGCCCTTTTTAATGTGCAAGTAATGTAGAAAAACATTTGGAGGGCTTCCAATGATTAACTACCAATTCATACTTCGTAAATTCGGCTAAATTAATAATTTTGTTTATCTCAGTTTCAGTCTCGATATAATTTCTAATATCGAATTTAAAATCAGGCAAACATTTAATGTTATTTTTTGGCAAACAGGTCGGCGCCGGTGTCGCCGGTGTACATATAGTTGGGGAATTATTTAAATATAGTAGAGATGTTAACCTTTTTATGAATGAGTACTTGATGAATAGGTTTAAAAACACTATTTTTAAAACGATTATAAAAGATTTGCTACTCTGTAAAGTAAAGTATTTTTAAAACCCATACTCCCAGCCCTCACTAATAACACTTTCAGCTCTTTTACGTCCGTATACATTTTCGGCCAATATTGAAATTTGGTAAGACTATTTCTGATTGAATGTATCCAACCAATGTAAGTTAAAACATTGAATTTATCAAATTTTAAGTTTTTCTGTTTTTTTTCGTAAATAAGGAACTATGTTTCTCCTATTGCCTACCGAAATAATGTCGAATAGACATATTAGTGTAGTGCCAGTCAATCGGAATTATGCTTTCTGTGGGGGACTAAGTGTCACAAGCTGAATTGTTAGTGAATTGAAAACTAATATTGTGGAGATTCTAAAACCGGAGGTAATCCAAAATTAGACCTTGCAGAAAACGAGATATTGGTACCATTGCATAGAGCGTAACGTGTACTACAATATGACGCAAAATCCAAAAAGTAACTTTACAAGTTAGGCAAACGTATTATTTTAAACATTTAAAAAACTATTGGAGCTTACGGCCTAAAAAAATGTAAAATGCGATTTCCTCGGTTTTATCTTAAAAAAAATTGCGAAAAATATTGTACTTTTTATGTTAACACTACGAAATTAGCTAAACAAGATTTTAAAACAAAAAAAAGTTACTCTTTATAAAAGTCAACCATATTTTTATGTCTCATATTAATCAACTTATGTTAATTAATATAAAACAAAACAATTAAATCGGCTGCCGCGAGATTTACACACTCTGCTAACGGTGTTATCGCTTTGTATATTCCATCTTCGTTGCACCTATGATTGTAAACATATATCTATCTCTATCGCACTACGAAACTAGCCCAGCTCATAATATTACCACCACAATGACGGACAAACAATCTTAATTATTTTTGTAGATAAACTATTGTACTTCTGATAATGTTTTTTATAGATGTACTAAATTGTACGGATCCAATTGAAACAGTTTATAGATTTCATAATTTTAAGCCAAAAAGTTCATATTAACAAGTAAATATTGATCAAAATTCGATTAAAAGTCAAGAGATGTAAAAGTTAGATAACTAATTAAAAATTCAAGTAAATATCAAATATCAGTGTCGCGCAACTGAAAATGTATCATTTCTATCAATTTGGAACCACCAGTAACTTTGCTAATTATGGAAATCAAACCATTGTTAATATAAACCTTTTTGCTTAAAATTATGAAACGTTTAACCTGTCTTCGTTTTATATAATTGTGGATACCCTGTATACAAGACCTCTGAAATAGGGGTCTCGAAAAAATTTATTATTACTAATAATACTTACTAAATATTGAAAAAAAAAATAAATAAATAAATGTGCCAAGAGTAAAATTAAAAGGGAAAAATATCTAACTCTGAAAGAGCCCTTCGTTAACTTTAATAAATTATATCTTTTTAAAGAGCATGGATAATTATATTTTTTTATTAGAAATACCACAACTTAGAATCTTGTTTAAAAATCGTATTAAATATTCTTCTCGTCTTCTGATTCTTCGCTGCCCCCTTCAAAACCTGGCTTTGGTTAAGAATTTAACCAAATCTTGGTTTGGTAAAAAGCCTAAGGAATCGTCTGTTGAAGGCAGTGTCGGATTGGGACCCATAGGCCCTACCTGTTCAGGAGGGAGAAGGGCCCACCTATACTTTTGTTTTCATGGTCAGGTTCATTGAAGAGTAAAAAAGGTCTTCTTTGCACACTGATGCTTTTCCGTGGCTGCCACGTATTACGGGATTTTCTTTATTCTTCTCAAAGGCCCACTGCTTGAATGAAGGCCTACCGGTCTTATGACCGGCAGACCGACGGCTGACGACCATATCCGACAATAGTTGGGGGTAGCCTAGATAGCTCTATTGAAGAGGCCATTAAACCTTTTAATACATTAAGAGAAAGAACAACAACGAATATCATTTTATTACAAATTTTTTAATAATATTAAACAGATCTTCGGAATGGATCTTTTTTACCATTCCAGTAAATTGACTCTTTGTATCGCATCCTATTAAATTACGGAAAAAAGGTAGGTTGATCGTTAGACTATTTCATTAACTGCCACGTAACCAGTAACATTTATTATTCAGTCTTTTAACTAAATTTCACTAGGAAGAAGGTTTTTAAAATACACCAAAATAATAGACACATCGGTATTGTTAGAGTCAATAACGCATGTAGAAAAACCTTCCGTTTTAGCACAGAGTACATGAAGTAGAATTCTAGTGTCAGCTTCTTCATGGTTTGATTCTAATAGTTATCAATTTTCTTTTTAAATATCAATATTGAATTTAAAGTCTGGAATGTTATTAAATCCGCCACTCGTTACAAATTGTATCTTATAATCATGGAATCCGTAATCAGGAAATTCGTTTGATAAAATATTGGTTAACTGTTTATTATTAAATATTCAGTGAATAAATAAATTCCATTGTTGTGGAAACGGGATCTCTCAATTAGTAATAATCCTATTAATTGATTTGGAAGATCCTCTATTTTTGACGAATTACAACATTTTTAATCAAATTTTCTGTGTAATGATTAAAAACAATGTCAATATGTTGTGCTTTATATTTGATTTGAAATACAATTTGTGAAAATATATCAGAATATTCCTTAAATCAAAATACAAGTGAAGATTCCAAAAATAAATAAAAGGTCGACCAAAAATCGGTAGATTTTGAAGAGTTCAGCGAAGAATCGGCAGATGAGGAGAAAATATAATACGATTATTACACATTATTGTAAGTTGTAGTTTTTCTGAAAAAATATGAATATCCATGCTCTTTATTTAAAGAAAAATAATTATTAAAGTTGAGGGAAGGCTCTTTAAGTGTTAAATATTTTCTATTATAATTTTACTCATAACAATCATTTTTTTCAATATTTAATAGGTATCACATTATACAAGGTGTCCCAAGTTATATAAAACGGAGATAATTTTAAGCAATTATCATATTAACAATGGTCCGATTTCCATTAGTAGCAGAGTTACTGGTGGTTTAAAATTGATAGGAATGACACATTTTCAGCTGCACGCCACTTGTGAAATTTGATATTTTCTTGAATTTTTAATTAGTTATTTAACTTTTACATCTCTTTACTTTTAATCGAATTTTGATCAATGTTTACATGTTAATATGAACTTTTTGGCTTAAAATTATGAAATCTATAAACTGTTTCAATTGGATCCGTACAATTTGGTACATCTGTAAAAAACATTATCAGAAGTACATTTACCTAACTTGTAAAGTGACGTTTTGGATTTTGCGGTCATATTATAGTACACGTAACCCTCTATGCAATGGTACCAATATCTCGTTTTTTGAAAATAGTGCCCTTCTGCAAGGTCTAATTTTAGATTACCTCTGGTTTTAGAATCTCCAAAATATTAGTTTTCAGTTCACTAATAATTTAGCTTGTGACACTTAGTCCCCTACAGAATTAATTTCTAGAGCAGTTTTGTTACAAATAGCACCATACTATATAAGAAGTTTATTTTCTAAGACCTGGATGTTTTTGGATTTGTATTAGGTACACTTTAATCGGTGGAAATATAAATCAAAACTCACGATTATAAGTGATGCAAAGATGTTAGATTACAAGGAATTTTATCTGTGAGATAATATGTTAAAATTGTAAGAAAGTAAATGAAAAATAATTGTGAAATAATAATTCGCAATAAATGCGAGAAATAAGAACTCTTTTAATAAAAATATTTCTCAGGACGTTTTCTATACTCATGGATATTTTTTTCCAGTTTTTAATTAGTTTTTTGAATAATATTACGTATTTTTTTGTTTAGGAAAAGCAATCGGACTTCCTGATCAATTTTTAACTTTAAAAGAGGGAAGTAGGGGAGGAGGTGTCATACAGGTAAGAATTGACTAATATATTAAATTTCTAATAGTTATTTAAAATAAAGAAGTTTAGTTTTTAATAGATTGTTTATGTAATTCAAGTAACTTAAATTTAAATATATTTTACAAACATATAGTTCTTTATACAATTTGGTTTTTGGTTTGGCAGTTGAGTCGTTTAATCCTTATTTAAATATATTTTTTCTTTTTCTTAAGCATCCATTTTATCTGCTATTTTTAGTATTCTATTCTCTGCTTTTGCACTGCCACTACCTAAACCATTTATAATAAATGAGATGAGATGAGATAATAAATGAGATTAAAAGAACATTCTGAAATATGTGCATCGTATGTATTTTACACGTATTTCATTTTAACTCTAGTGACAAAATGTTCATTCTGTAATAGTTATTGACCAATAGTTGTGAATATCATGCCCGCATCGTAGATAGCCATGTATTTTATGATTGACTGTTCTATGAGCTATTATTATTTAGTTTAAATTTGCCTGAATGAAGATATTGAGTCGAATTTAAATTTAAAAATAGGTAAAGTTAATTAATCTGATATAGAATTTGATAATTATTTAGGAGAAAACTTGCCTAATATATATTAGAATAAATATTTTAATTTGTTCAAAATTCCATTTTTCTATATTCAACTACTGTCTGTTACTAGTCAGTTACTCTTGCTGGAATATACTACTTCATCACTTTTATTACTTTTCATTGGCGTTTTTTACACGCTGTCCAACTAGTTTCCTTTTATTTTGCAGCTTTATATTTTAATTACAATTCTATTTTTATGTTTTCTTCTCTATACCTTTTTCTTTTAGGCTACTATGTTAGACTCTTTCATATAAAAAATTTCGATTGCTTGTGTTCTTCCTTATTTTTTTGTTTTTGTTTTAACAGTATTAGTTTTCACTGCCATTTATTGTCCATTTGGCCTTGGATCAATGAATAGATTTTCTGTCGTCTTCCAATAATATTATATCATATGTATACAGGCGTTTTTAATTTAACAGATCTAACACAATAGCAAAAAAATAGCCATTTCTCTACATTTTACAGGATCGCATTAGGTAACTGAACAATTTTCTATATACATATTATATAGTTAATATACCTATCTGTTATTTTTGAGTATTCTTAAAAATAGTACCGTAAAATGGGGTGAAATAAAACATTGTGGTGACTTGAAACAAATTGCAGCGCCATCTTTTATTCGGTAGCAAAAATATTAATAGTTATGAGAATCGATAATATATTGTATTAATGCTTTCTGTAGACTACGTACTTCACATAATTCATGTTTTAAAGCGCAGAAGCACAGCTTATACAATACAGCTAAAACACTCTCTTGGCGGCAACGGTTTGCGTCGATTCCGTCGCTCCGCCTTCGGACGGAAAAGACGGCTTTGGCGTTCAGAAGCGTACTTAGGTAAGGTCGTATTGAGCCGTGCGTATAATTTCGTTGATTGCATAATTTCGTTGAGCCTATAATTTCGTTGATTTTGTTTGAACTCTCTCTTGTGTTAAATTAAAGGTACTGTTATTATTTTGGTGACTCTTTAGCTGTGAGTAGAATGAGTGAAAAAAAAAGACATCATTCTGTTTGTGCAGTCAAAAGCTGTTTTAATAAGGGTTATACCTGCAAGAAAACATTCTTTTGTTTTCCCAAGGACCCAAACCGATAAGTACCATCTTATAAGAAATTTTCATTGTTAAAAATATTATTTATACAGGGTGTCCCATTAGTGCGTAATTGTTCAATATTTGTGTTGTCGACACGCAAAATAGTTTTAAATAAAAGTTATATGGATTTGAAAAATACCTACATATTTTAAAAATATTTTTGTGTAGACTCGATAAATAATAGCAGTTTGGTTTTTATTGGGTCCACATTAAAAAAAATTAAATTTTAATCAAACTACATGATACTAATTTAATTACAAGTAATAAAACTAAAATCCTGAAAGTGTCGGTGAAGATGAGGACAGAGCATCCGCCTTCCACGCGAAAAGCCCGGGATCGAATCTACGCCGAGGACTAATTAAATTAGATCTTTTTTTTCATGTTTATTTTATAAATTAGTAAAATTCGTAAATTATTTTAAAATTAGTTATTTTGTCTAAATAACCTAAAATATTTTTTTAAATTTGTATTTTTTCGTTAGTGGGTCGTAGAAAAAATATACTGTACAACTCGAGTGGATTTTTCATATCACAGACGATTGAGTACTTCGCCTACGGCGTCGTACCAAAACTTCGTGTGATATGGCTATCATATCCACTCTTGTTGAACAAACTACTATTTATTTGTTTTCTTGGTTTAAGTTTTACATCAGAAATAGGAACTAAATTAATTTACTTTTCAAGTTTTATTGTAAAAATCGATATTACTTTCTCCAAGTACAAATTTAGTACCTACCTAAAATAAGTACTAATTATGTAATTTCGAATAATATTGTAATTCAAATTTCACATTACTATAAATTCCCTACTTCGGTATGGTCAGATAAAAATTGAATATTTTATATTAATAAAAACTGTCAAAGTATTACTTCTACAAATCTGTATTCCAATGAATAAGAATACATTTAAATAAAACCAATACTGTTAAAATAAAAGCACAAGTGACCGATTCTTTATAATTCCAGAATACCATAGAGTTCCCAGACCTCAGTCGAAGCATTCGTTTATCTAGGTATAAACCCTTTACGCGATGAGTACCTAACACTTGCCAGACACACGGGGTACCACTTGATTTACATCCACGGGCGCGACAAAATTCGTTAACAATTGAAGCTCTTGGTGTAAAAAGGATCCAAGCCCTAATTTGTCGTGAAGTGACTGTTTTAGCTCAAAACATCTGTTAATGAGGATATTACTAGACACACAAATTATTTTACCTCTAATCCGAAAGATGTGCTATTTTTTGTAATATTTATATTTAAATAATTTTTTTAATTATATTTGACAGATTTCAAACAAATTTAAAAATTAATTTACGCCAAGGTCTTTAATTATTTCAATAATAATTTTTTTTTTAATCCGGGCCCGACTTTTCCGTCGAATCTAACAGAGATTAGCACCATTCCGTCTTGCTTGGTTCTCGACCGCCAAATCAAAGGCGCCGACACGGAGTTGTGTAGCTGTATTGTATAAGCTGTGGCAGAAGTTTGTTTCTTGACTGTTGAGAATTATTGAAACAAAAGGTAAGAAAATCCCAGACAGCACAAAGACATCTTTAAGACGTCCATAAGACGTCTGTCAGAGACATGACAGACATTTCTTCTGTATCTTGTTCTTCTTCCGGGAGCGTATAATCGTTTTTCTTTTGTGTATCTTGCTTGGCCCTTTCCTTTCCAACTGTCTTTCTGTTCTTAACCTTTGGTTTCGGAACATTCTCCTTTTCTTTTTCCTTTGGTTGGTCGTAGGAAATACTTTCGCCTGGTGCAACTGTCAATTTTTTCTTTTTTCCCGAAGTAGATGGTTCCTGAGGATTTCCGTACCGTGCATTTTGAAATATCTCGGACATCAATATTACAACAGCTTTCGGAAGCCTTTTAAGAATCTTCTCTGCTCTATCTAAAGGAACTAGGCTAGTAGCCATGAAGCCACCTTTTATATTTTTCTAATTGGCTTCCGTATTCTGTAGAGCTTAATTCAACAGCCTAGGAAATACGTCTTTTCTTACAACACCCTTGTTATGCCTCTTCCATGCTTGAAGAGCTTTTCGCCACTGTTGTTTTATGGGCCTAAACACGCACACATCTAACGGTTGAGTTACGTGTGTGCTATTGGGTGGCAGTAAAATAAATCTGATGTTATTCGATTTGCATAGTTGTATGACGTTTAGTGATAGGTGTGCAGCTAAATTGTCTCCAATAATTACTTTGGGTCCTGGTGGCAATGTCTTGAAATATGGAAGAGCGGTAGTTACGAACCAGTCTTCAAATAAGTGCATATCGAACCAGCCTGATGAACTCCTGTTGTATCGAGCTTTTTCTGGACCTCTCTCAGTCCATGTGGTCCATAGATGGTCTGCTTTATAAACAACGTAGACAGGAAACATTACTCCTGAGGTAGAACATGAAAACATAACAGATGTTGCGGATTTTGAGGTGTCTTGAATTTTTTCGGCCCTTTTGGACTTTCTGCGAACAATAACTTTGACCCTTCCTGGGTCATCGGTAAAATTAGTTTCGTCGTAGTTAACCATTGCTGCTGGATCAACGTCTACTAAGGATACTGATAAATGGTCAAAATATTGATTTATTATGGCATAGTTGATTTTAGCTCTGCTTTGTTTAATTGACTGTGAGAACCTAGTGGATATCTCATTTCCGTGTCGCTCAATGAAACTCATATACCACTCGTGACCTGGTCTGTTATCTATAAATTGTTTAATATTGATTCCAGACCGATTTAAAAAATTTTGCACCAAATCCCTAACATCGGGTTCTTCATACGGGAATCCCCAGTCAGAAGCACAAATAATTGCACGAAGAATAACCATTTCTTGATTTTCCGACAATGCAGTCTGTCCGCCATATTTTTTTGAATGTAAATTTTTACATTTTCTATATAGCGTAGCATATGGTATTCCATATTGCTCACCAATACTTCTTAGGGTTCCTCGTTTTTTTTTTTGTATAGCAATCCATAGCCTTTTTTAATGTCTCTTCGCTAAAATCGGCATATCTTCGGCTTCCAGGTGTTCTCTCATATTTTCTGGGCATGTTTCAATTCACCCCTGAAATGACAATAAAAAATAAAGTCGCACGCCACTGCTTTAATTTTTATTTTATTTCAAAAGTAAGGTTATGAGCATTATCACAAATAAATATCTAAACTACAAAAAAATATCAATAGCGTAGGGTATCACCCACTTTTTCTACCCCACAGGAAGTAATCGACAGTTTAAAAAGTGCATCCCAGACAGCACACGACATCTTAAAGACGTCTGTTTTATGTCGTAGTTATGACTGAACGCCTAAAGACCTAAAAAAGACGTTGTAAAGACGACAATTTAGCTTCACACCTATCACTAAACGTCATACAACTATGCAAATCGAATAACATCAGATTTATTTTACTGCCACCCAATAGCACACACGTAACTCAACCGTTAGATGTGTGCGTGTTTAGGCCCATAAAACAATAGTGGCGAAAAGCTCTTCAAGCATGGAAGAGGCATAACAAGGGTGTTGTAAGAAAAGACGTATTTCCTAGGCTATTGAATCAAGCTCTACAGAATACGGAAGCCAATTAGAAAAATATAAAAGGTGGCTTCATGGCTACTGGCCTAGTTCCTTTAGATAGAGCAGAGAAGATTCTTAAAAGGCTTCCGAAAGCTGTTGTAATATTGATGTCCGAGATATTTCAAAATGCACGGTATGGAAATCCTTAGGAACCATCTACTTCGGGAAAAAAGAAAAAATTGACAGTTGCACCAGGCGAAAGTATTTCCTACGACCAACCAAAGGAAAAAGAAAAGGAGAATGTTCCGAAACCAAAGGTTAAGAACAGAAAGACAGTTGGAAAGGAAAGGGCCAAGCAAGATACACAAAAGAAAAACGATTATACGCTCCCGGAAGAAGAATAAGATACAGAAGAAATTTCTGGTGGCGATCAAAGTGTTCTCTCAGAAGTTATTAACAATAATGAAAACGAAAATGGCGAGGAAAATTTTGGAATGAGAACAATTCCTCTAGTTGGAGAATATGTGGCTGTAACATTAAAGACAACCAAGGGCACCGGTAAAAATTATGTGACCAAACTTTTATCGGAAGAATCTGGTTCCTATGTTTGCAAATTTCTTAAACGTTCTCAAAAAAGTCACGATATATTCATTTTTCCGGCAATTGAAGACATAGGAATTGTCGTCTTACAAGAGGAAATTAAAGAAGTGTTAAAATCTGTAGAGACACTCAGAAGAGGAAGTTTACGCATTAGGGGTCTATCTTTTAAGCCATAAAACTTTTATTATTATAAGAAAATAAGTTTAGTTTTTTTTGTTATGTTCTGTTAATTGAATAAAGATTTTTAAGTTGTGCAACTTTCTTTAGTGGTAGTGGTAAAAATTGCCCATAACAATAATTACGCATTTAAGTGAGCCAACATTGAGACCATATATGAATTATTCGTAGAACATTTGATTTCTAGGTATTTTATAATGTTTTTTTTTTTAAATGTTTTTAATATTTTTCAGACTTCTGCAAGTGAATGCATCTTGGTATCAATGTTGGCTGCCAGAGCCCAAGCTATAAAAAGATTAAAGCAACAACATCCTTTTGTCGAAGAGGGACTATTATTGTCTAAACTCATGGCCTACTGTTCCAGAGAAGCACATTCCTGCGTCGAGAAGGCTGCCATGATATGCTTTGTGAAATTGCGAATCTTAGAGCCTGATGAAAAATCATCTCTGAGAGGAAAAACTCTACTAATGGTAATTCATTTTTTAATCAGTTTTTATTGTTGTAACTATGTAGGTACTTTGTAGTGCAGATATCTGTTTTTATACGTCAGTTTAATCAAAATTCTAGATATTATCAGCTGCTGATCAGTGGCGGCTATAAAGCTGTAGAACGTTAAAAAACAAATACAAGTATTACATCTACATTTCACAGAAATTATTTTAGATAATCTAAAATATACGTTAAATAGATTTTATGGTCATTCTCTTTGATTTAAACTAATTAACATTATTAAATATTAAAGACTGTGCGTGCAATGGACGGCTTGGGTCGCTTATCTTCTCCTTTGTTTATTCTACTATTTTTGATAGGCATATGACTGTCAAAAAGATTAAAATAACAAGCTTGCGAACAGCGAAACTTTCTTGTCAACAGTATTTTGATAAAAAATAAAAAAGTGTATTAAAAAAATGTTAAAGTCTCTTAAGTCTTAAGTCTTAAATAGGGGGGGGGGGCATTGCCTTTAGCCATTCCCTTTTTAGCATATTTTTTTGAATAAAAGACCCATATCGTTTGTGACTATCCGGGGATCGTAGTTAAAATCTGAATTCATCGGTAGGTAAACAACAAATATCCAGTCGCCTGAATTTCAATGTTAATACTAGCGAATTGTATTCTTGAATTCGAAGGAATAGAAAACTGATTTTTTCCTCTTTGTCTGCAACGTACACAATTTGTATTTCTGTCTTATTCTTCCCTCAAAAGTTCTACTTCCAGAGATTAAACAATAGGTATCCTAAATACTCGATGTACTTTGGAAAGTTCGGGTCCTGTAGCGGGTTTTCGAGATTCCGGATTAGCTTCACTCAACCATCCTCTAACGGTGCGTTTACTAAATTTTATGCTCCTGACATGTTCAAGGTTACTTCAAATCACTTCTTCTTCTTCTTTTCTTTTCTCTACAGTAGTTAAGGCTATGAAAACTAGAGATAAGGAGGCGAAACGGCATGCTCAAAATACGGTCCCAAAAATCACACGTCAATTGAGCTTTTATAATTAACCGCATGGGCGCTGGTACGGTTTACGTAGTTCAAAATAATGGGAATTATACATAATTTTGTCAAAATAATAAAAATAAACTTGTTTATAGCTAAATAAAGCACAGAACATACTGTTTATTTCTAAATAAGTCTTACATATTTTAACTGATACATTATTTACTATTTATTCCTATTTAAGTAAAATGCAAATTATTGATAAGTGTTGAAATTTGATGGGTAGGGCTAATTATTTTTTAATTAAAGCTAAATAAGGCCGAGGGCATACTAAGACACGGTTTAAATGAAAATATTTAGTCAGGGATTTTACAAAATTTTATGAAAATAATAAAAATCAAATTGTTTATTGCTAACTAAAGCACAGAAAATACTGTTGATTTTAATTATTGTAAATAAATCTTTGTTTTAATTGCTAACTAAAGTATAGAAAATACTGTTGGTATTAATTATAAATGAGTCTTTATGTTAAACATTATTTACTATTCATTATTTAATTTTATCTAAATAAAATGAAAATTAGGTATGACCAAATTTGAAAAGGTTTGTTAAATGGTGAAATTTGGTAAGAACAGTTTTGTGGTAATTTTGTATTCGACAACTACAATTTCATCATTCTGGTAAATAATTTCTTCAGCAATATGTTCTAGTATTTTCCTCCTTTTTTTTATTTTAACAAATTCAGTTCGGTTCAATGGTGGTTTCGTTTTTTCCTAATACTGGACAAGTATGAAGGGAGATTCGGGAATATACATGGTATTGCTTCGTTCTTTAATCTCGGCCTTTCCCTTTTTATTTTGTTAACAGAACCATTAGTTAAAATAGTCTCATAAAATTTTAAAATATCATCTTCTAAAAAGTGTAGCTCGTAAACAGAATCATAACTAGACAGTACTTTATTAGCCCTAGGAACCATATGCTGCCATTGTTCTAAACGTTTGCAATATTTGCAATAACTAAATTGGAGTTCAATAAAGAAAAATAACAGTAGTAACTCTTCATCTCACATCAAAAAACATAAAAAAAGTAAATTTTCTTTTCTAATAAGTTAAATTTAATATGTAATTATTGTTGTTTGTAAGTCAGGATTTGAGACTTTGTTATTTTTTAGTATAGAATTTTGTAATTAAATAAACTACACTCCGTAAGATACGGGTTGTGACTATTTTACAATAAATATATATTATTTAGAAATAAATACATTATTTTACTTACACTAGGAGCTTTAAAAAGACTTGGATTTTTATTTCCTTGTGTTTTCTTTGATTTTTTATCGGATTTATATCCCGTTTTTCAACCCGCAACGAAGCAAATCCTGCTTTGCCGTTTTTTGTTACTCATTGTTAGTTGTAGTCAGGTTCTTTATTTCAGCTTATTTTTATTCTTTTCACTAAATTTTACAAAAATCACTTTAATTTCCATTGACTTGCATAGATAGACGTCGCTATTTTGCCACCCGCCAACTACAGTAGTTTTTTGGAACTCCATAAAAATAGGGACGGAAATTTGAAATTTGACCAAGGCTGATTCGCCTCCTTATCTCTAGTCTTCATAGTTAAGGCCAAGTTCAACTTTGTTTGACATATAATCACGATTTTTTTAGGTAAGAAAATTGTATTATCGATTTTTCATTTGAAGTAATACAAGACGTCACTTTAAATTTCTATCTCTTTATGTCAACAAATATGTAACACGATGAATTTATAAAACGTATGTCACTAATGAATACATACAGGTCCGGTATAAGCCATATATAAATGGAAAATAATAATTTAATATTTTGATTGAGTTAAATAAAATACAAAAATTAAATGTTTATTTTTAAGTAAAAGACATTTTTAAATAAATACGTCTTCAATCAAAAATAATATAGGCTAATACTCAAGTGTATACGAGTGTATTGGACGAGAGATAATTTTATCCTTTACTCCAGTTTTTTATAATGAAACCAGCGGTAAAATAGATATTTGTGTACCAAGGCTGTGTTTTGGTCGAATTAGACATATGCGTTCGAATCTAAGCTAGTTCTGGTAAAGTATAAGAGTAATAGGCAAGAAACGGATGTTCAATCAAACTTGACATCGAGATAGATGTCACATAAGCATGTGTACTGAAGAGGAACTTTGCAGGACCAAGCATCAGATAGGTATAACCCTTAATATTCTGAAAACCATGCATACTACACTGAATAAGAACGAATGGAAGTATCAGAAGGAGGCTAAAGGCAAAAAAATAAACGGAACAGAGCTGAATAGATAGATAAGCAATATTTTAGCCAGGAGAGAGTCGATGAATGTTATAAATATAGTAAATTTATGAATGTATTTTTAATGTATAATTTCAGTTTATTTTTATTTTTAATATAAAACTATGGCTGACATATTAAAACTCTTAAAAGTATATATATTTTCAATCTTTATTACTATACATTATTTAGTTTTCATTTATTCTCTCTGACCTAGGAAAAAGGTTAGAAAACCCTGGTCATAATTGTTTACAATGTTGATGTTCCTAATGATACAGAACATTACAGAGGAATTATACTTAGCCGATGAAATCTCATCGAGTTCACGCATGACGGATTGTGGTATGGAATATGGCTATCTCTGATGCCTATGCAGATTTAAATTTATTTTTGCGTACTGTTTTCTATCAACTGATACCCCAAATTTATACAAGCCACGTCTTCGCACCACAATGTGAAGGATATTCTTGGTGTAGCTGATCATCATGTTTCGAGTCATTGAACCTAAAAAATAACAAATATCAATAAATAGAATTAGGCATTTATTCCAAAAATATTTTTCTTTGGGAATTATATAGGATTTCTCGTTAATATACTGACAAACTTTTAAAGGTGGTAGGTGCATCAAAATAAACATTTTTTGCTTAATAAAATAAAAATAATTTTATTTCCCAACAAATTAATCCATTTACAGAACAAAATACATGCAATAAATGTTAAACATAATATTTCGACAGAAAATAATTTTAGCAACTAACAGCAAGAAAAAAAAAAGAAAAGAAAGAATTCTAAATACATTAGCTGCAAATTAGTACAATTAATGGTCGAAATAAATATCCCAATCAGAACAAAATTAATTAAAATTTGAGCACATTAGCGTTATAGGCGAATTTCTTCAAAAGTTCGTTCAAATACTTGCTGTATAAAATGTTTTATGATATCTAATGGCTGTTTGGGGAATATTAAAATTTATTTGATTTATAAAAAATAGTACATCAATAGTGTTATGTAATATTTTATAAAATAATGTTACACTGGAAACTACCCTTCTATTTTAGAAAGAAGCAGAGATTGTTCAATACCTCGAATGGGATACAGCTCATCTATTTTAAAAGAAAGGTACTTGAGAAATCCAATGCAATGATCTTTTATGAATATTGTAAATAAGGTTCCAGATAAGAGATGCATATTCTAGCTTGGAACGAACTAAAGAAAAGTAAAGGATCTCCAAGCTTTAACAGTTTGTAAAAGAACGAGTATTAAGAATTAAAAACCCTTAGCTTTTCAACGCAGAAGCAACGGTACTTTCAATGTAATCCGAAAAAGTAACTTTTTGGTTGAATTATATACCTAAATCTTCAATTTTTGCACAAGTCGATAAAGGTAGGTCGTTAAATAAATAATCCACCTTGTTAATACTTCTAGTACAGGAACATACTTTACATTTACACACATTTATAAACATCTTGTTTTCATTACACCAATTTTCAACAGTTGGGTCTGTAAAAAGTGACAGTTTTGAATTGATAAGATTGAGGTAAATATTTTTAAGTCAGCAGCGAACAGCAGGTGATAAACTTAACATGAAATTGTTAAGTTTATTGCCAAGTCATTTATAAATATACTAAATAATAGTGGCCCCAGATTGGAGCTCTGTGGAACTCCAGATGTTGCTGTGAGGGGTGAAGATGAAAATCCGTTGTAAAATACATAATTAAAACGATGATTTAGG